GCACATCCCACCCTCACATTCTTGGAGTTTTTATTGTTTTGCAGTGTTAACTGTACATATAGTACTGTACCCTCATCTTATCTGTACATATTGTTACTGATCTGTATTGTACGTGGGTGGGAGGGAACCCCCGACCGCCAAGAGCCTCCGCTTTGCAGACACAAGTCTCCAAGATTTGCTATGTAGTACGAGCCTCCGTCATGCAGTATGAGCCGCCGTCATGCAGTATGAGCCTCCGTCATGCAGTATGAGCCTCCGTCATGCAGTACGAGCCTCCGTCATGTAATAAGAGCCTCCACTTTACAGTAAACGATCCTCTGCTATGCAGAAAAGCGGAGGCTCATTTCCTGCATAGCGCAGGCTTGTACTACTACGGAGGCTGGTATTACATAGCAAATCTGGGAGGCTGATGTCTGCAAGGTGGAGGCTCATGACGGCTTCGGGTTTCCTCCCTAATTGTACAGGACGAACCAGACGAAACGACCACATGTCTCAATCGTGTTCATTAAATATTATGCTCTGGGTTTCCAGATTCGTTCACTTTTACGTGTATATCTATATTATTAAACATGTTCTATCAACGAAATAAATTTTATGTCCTTTTCCATTTCTTTTTTCTTATTTTTTTAAAAATTAGTTTTAAATGGATTAAAAGTTAATTTTAAGTTTTGTTAGGGCTGAGCTTCTAGTGAACCTTCATTAAGAGAGTTACATACCAGATTCATTTAGAGAGTTACATACCAGATTCATTTAGAGAGTTACATACCAGATTCATTTAGAGAGTTACATACCAGATTCACAGCAATAGATTTTGTTCTCGCGGGTTGTCAGATTTACGTAGAAGATACACACTAGGAAATTGAAGAAATTCATAATTAAAAAAATTCTTATAGTTACCTGGAACAACTTTAAAGGTTACTATTGTAATTGAGCAAATTACGTTTTAAAAGAAGACTCACTTGAAAATGCAATGTTAAAATGTACATTATTATCCCAATTTTTAAGGCCAGCTCATTGAAAAAATTAGACTTATAGCTTTAATAGTTTAAGCGCTTGGGATGGTTGAAAAAAATGCCAAAAAAAAGGTTGAAAAATGAAAAATATAATTTTTTGTTTTAAACAGATGACACATGAAATATGAAAATCATTTTAAAATATTTTAGCTTGTGCGTAACTATTTTGATATTAGAAAGCAATTTGAAAAATGTTCATTAATTGTTATCTGTATTTGATTTATAATTAGAATGACTACTACAAAAATCACCCTCTACCTTAATTCTAAAAATCAACCTTCATGTCTGATGTTTAGGGGTCTGTACAATCCACGCACCTCTGCCCCTTTAGTAAAAGTAAATTCAACATTTATGAAGCATAAAGTCTGACCTCGTAAACCTTGTTACACCAGCTAGCCTTCTTAATTGTCGGCTTAATTAAGCCAATGTTTGTGCGGTACAGTACAAACTGGGACCGGGAAAGTTGGAACAGCTCGGAAATTCAAATGTACTACGGTGGCCCGTGAATCTCCCCGTACAAATTGTCTTTCAGCATTCTATACTCTAATCTTTCTCCGTTGATCATACTACTCAAGGTTATAATGCAAGGAAAGTTATTTCAATGGTATTCGCATCTTTTGTACTGCAGTGTACTGTCTCAGGGCGGTAATGTAAACACAAGATGGTTGTCCTAGCCTGACATGGGATCCATCTTTCACATAAAAAATCAATGAAATATTCTGATCATAGGAAAATTATTGTGTGAATTTTCGAAATTATCAAAATTTAATGCTTTTAACCTCCTCGGATACTTAACGAACACTGATTCATCTATTCTTGTTTACAAATTCCGTCCAGAGAGAACTGGTTTCAATATGTACGTAGAGTATACCCAACTGCAATTAACTTTCCTTGCATTATAACCTTGATACTACTGAAGCATTATGCAATAAACAAACAAGAAAACATTTGTAAATATGAAAATTCATTAATTTATTTTTATTAATGGCTACCTACATTTTGAGTCTTCGGAACAAATTCTGATTTTCTTATCCCAATATCTTTGTATCCAAATTTATAGACCTTAGATATTTCAGATTATAAATGCTGTTACATCAATTTAAAATATTAAAGGTCGTTCTAATTATATGGGATTTGAAAACTTGAGTTTGTGGCAACGGTGAAATTCCTTGTGGTCCTATACAATTATTGGCCATAAACTGATTTTAAATCATCGAAAAAAAACATTGATGTAAAAACATTAAAAAATTGTAAACTTTAGTAACTTTTTATGTTTAAAGTTAGATCATCAATGAAAACAAAATAAAAGTTAAAAATAATAATTTATTATGCATAAATCAAAAGTGAAATATTTGAAGGTTAAAAATTCAAATCATGAAACTAATCAGAGGCGTATACAGGGGGGGGGGGTTTTGGGGGCTTACAGCCCCCCCCCCTCTCTCTGGATCAGAGAGATAATAATCATTCACATTTGTTTGTCTATGTCGGAGATAAGAGAGTTACAGAAATCTATTAAGACCTATAATATGCGCGCTATTTTCCACAGCATGTTCTATTGTGTACAAGTACTGTACACGACCAATCAATATACATCTGTATTCAGGGATATTTAAGTATTCTTTGATAGGAAATGCAATATTTATAAACGTTATTTTTTATTTTTTAATTGGAGTATTTGTTAAAAAGTTGTAAAACCCCTGAATGCAACAAGTGGCCGTGAGATGTCAGTCAAAAAAATTAAATGGAACCGTAGCATGGCGTGCCGGGACACTATAGGCCTGCTCAGCCTATCCAGGTAGAGTGTATGAGCAGATTGTGTAGTCTGTGGTCTATGTTAAATCAAATCAACGGAATGCTGATTATTTAAAGTATATTTAAGTTTAATTAATTTATGATTTAACAAGATATTAGAGATTTTGTAACAATCATCCACTGAAGACTGAATTTTGTTGATTAAATTACCTCGAAAAAAATAATAAAAATACATTAAAAAAATACAAGAAATCTTTTGCTAAGCTTAACTTTTATATTTGGATTTGTTTCAGGAGACAACGGCGCACGCTATGTAAAATGTTGGACATTACGATGGAATGTATCACTATAGTTTCAGATTTATCCATCTACTGCTATAGCGCCGATATAAGGATTTATCTCATTGGATAATAAGCTTGATAGAAGGATAGATGATGCCGCCATGCAATTTCTATTGGTTCAGAATAGACACCAAACACATGGCTGAACCCTGATTGGATCAGGCGCTAATGGACTCGGCATACTAGAGTGGTTGGGGTAAAACATCTTTTGATCAATCTTGAGTCAATCAAAAGATAGAAAGACTTCGATAACAAACTGATAACTGGTTTACTGATATATCGTTTTATTTGTATGCGTGGGCTTTTCTCCACATACTCCCTTTATTAAAATTTATTATTTTTTAACTTTAATGGAGAGACCGGCTAGACATGGTAGTTGAGCTGCAAGTGCAGGTGCAGTATTGCAGAGAAAAAACTTTAGGATTTATTTTATATCAACGAGACATGTTTACGGTTTACTATTTATTAAATAAAAGCCTAAAGTTGTTTTTAATATTTCACCAGTTGTGTCAGTCAGTCGTCATTGGTGTCATATGAATCCTAAAGTTTCTACAATACTGCACTTTAAGATCTACTACCATGTCTAGCCGGTCTCTCTCTTTATTATAACAGACCCCCCTTTCAATCAAACCCAATAAACATGAGAATCAGTGACGACATTGAGATCGTCATTGTGAAGTTTTGGTTTTGTCTAAATTCAGAAGATCTGAATCTGAAGTTTGTCGCTCAATTTCAGTGTTTATTGGAAGTACCAGGCAAATTACGGAATAAAGTTTTTTTTTAACGGGAAAATGTTTTAGAATTTTGGGTCTTTTGTTGGTTATAAAGATATATTTGATTTGAGTCTTTGCAACAAACTCTGGGTTTCTTATCCATATTATTCTTATCCATATATTTTTCAAACCAATATCGTAGACCTTAAATGATTGGAACTATATAAATTATATAAAATAAATCAAATAATAACGGGAATGAATTGTTGAGTTTAAAGGTAATTAATTCTGGAAGATCAAGTAGTCTAAGTTTGAAATATGTCAGGTTTACACGACAAATAATCAGGTTGCAAAAATAAAGGGATTATAATTTTTGAGTTTGTGGTAAAACTCAATTCCTTTTTATTAGAAAAAAAACTTAAATCAAATATCTAAAAAAAGGTTTTGAGAAAAACGGCTAAAATATTCTCTTATCATTCGTCAGCTGTCAGCAGTTCCTTTGTAGTATGAAAATGAATTTTGCTTTTAAAAAGAGAGTAAAAGAGAATTCACAGACATTTTTCTGATAGATGCTAAAAATACAACTACTTGTTTTAAAACCAAAATAATTCAATTTTGTTCATTTATCATTTGTGAACAACTCTTTTTTTATTTTGTTCATTTATCATTTGTGGTGAACAACTCTTTTTTTTATTTTGTTCATTTATTATTTGTGAACAACTCTTTTTTTTATTTTGTTCATTTATTATTTGTGAACAACTCTTTTTTTTCATTGTTCATTTATCATTTGTGGTGAACAACTCTTTTTTTTTAATTGTTCAAAAAAACAGATGATTTGTAAAATTATATGTGTGTGATAAAAGTCATGAATCAAAACCGATTTCATTTTTTGACATTTTTATATCTTGGAGAAGACATTTTTATATCAATTTATTGAATTTGTAATAAATCAAATATTATAAAAAATCCTGCATTTAGATAAAAGAGCTATTTTACTTTCATTATAGTTTGGGTTTTCATCAAAGCAGTAATGTTTCTAATTTTTTTTTCAAAACACAGGGCAACGCTTTAAATTTTTTCTTTTTAAACATTTGAAATTAAAATTATTCTGAAGCATACATTTGCTTTCATAAAATTTTGATTTAAAATATTCAAAAGAAAAATATAATTGTTATTTTACTGGTTAATTTTGGCAAGTTTTCAATTGTTTTCATTTGATATTTCAGAAATGAATTTTTTTATACTTTTCTGTATTTTCAGCCAAGCTGTAACTATCATTCAAGGACAAAGGTATTTCATGTTGTGTATTCTTAAATTCAATCTTTCTGTAATCTCTAAACATACTTTGAGTGTTTGTCTGTCTGTTTGTTTTCAATTAAATTGCAAAACGCTGAAACGATTGGGCCACAACAAATTATATTATAATTATTCGTTAATTTACCCTTATTCCAATTGGGCCAATTTTGTCTGAATAAAGTTTAGATCTGTAGCCTAATTAATAGTGTTATATACTGTTTTCGATTTGTTGAAGTTCTCTAGAGGTAACCACAAAAACACCTTTGAGCAATATCTGGATTATTTATGTTATCAAATTCTACACTACCCTTTACATAAAAAATTGCAAAACCTTTTGACAACTATAATGTTACAATAGTGAAGAAAACTTTAAACATTCTAGCGTAAGTCCCTTAGTATTTAATATTTTAAATCAAAAACCACAGGGGGGGGGGGGTTAAAAATACCCCCCCCCCCCCAACCGTGATTTGGTTAAATCAATCCAATATTGTTGTATAGTTCAACTTAAAAATAATTGTGATACTGCTATGCAAAATTTGTGTATTTAAAAATCAATATCATGATTAATATTTCATAAATATGGATTAGCGCAAAGATCTTATTGATGTATGATTAAAATTTACGGTGTGTTTATCGTCTTGAATCATTATTGATTCATGATTGAAATTTACAGTTTATTTATCATCTAGAAACATTATAGATTCATGATTGACATTTACAGTGCATTTATCATCCATCTAGGAACATCATAGATTCATGCTTGAAATTTACAGTGTATTTATCATCTAGAAATATTATAAATTCATGCTTGAAATTTACAGTGTATTTATCATCTAGAAACACTATAGATTCATACTTGAAATTTACAGTGTTTTTACTATCTAGAAACATTATAGATTCATGCTTGGAATTTACAGTGTATTTATCATCTAGAAACATTATAGATTCATGCTTGAAATTTAGAGTGTATTTATCATCTAGCAACATTATAGATTCATGCATGAAATTTAGAGTGTATTTATCATCTAGAAACATTATAGATTCATGCTTGAAATTTACAGTGTATTTATCATCTAGAAACATTATAGATTCATGCTTGAAATTTACAGTGTATTTATCATCTAGAAACATTATAGATTCATGTATGAAATTTAGAGTGTTTTTATCATCTAGAAACATTATAGATTCATGCTTGATATTTACAGTGTATTTATTATCTAGAAACATTATAGATTCATGCTTGAAATTTACATTGTTTTTATCATCTTGAAACATTATAGATTCATGATTGAAATTTACATTGTATTTATCATCTAGAAACATTATAGATGCATGCTTGAAATTTACAGTGTATTTATAATCTAGAAATAAGGTGGATAACAGAAGAGTTAAAAACTATAGAAGGAGAACAGTGGAAGTTGGAGTTTATCTAGATAAATATGTGTGGAATACTATGAAAGTGAGTAGTAATAAAACATTATGAAATTAACAACAAATTGACAAAAATTTGTACTAGTCAAAATGAAAAATTAGTTGAGTTTTGAAAAATAAGGGATGGGATTAGACAAAAATAAAAGGAACATATTCTTTTTTGATTTAAGAAATAACTTTAAAATTGTAGAAAAATTTGTTTTCTGTTTTGAGACCAAACCAATAATTTAAAAAAGTCTGTTATTACAAATAAAAGTTTTTAAAAAATGGGTCATGACTTATGTTCTACTAATCTTGGCTCGGCATGTTCATATTTATTTTCAAACAAATGATTGTTGTTTGCAGGATCTAAGGGTTATGGTTGGGTTCCAAAGTGATTATAAAATCAGAGTTTGTGGCGAAAACTCAATTCCTTTAGATTTAAAATGAGTTCCTGGTTTAGAATGTGTTTTTAGTAGTGTTAATCATTTTCCCAAGGGTGACTTTACAAGTGACAATTTCCCAAATGTGCAATTTCCAAAGCAGCAACTTCCCAAAGGTTCTGTTAGACGTTCCGAGGCACTGCAGACTGCCATAGATCTGTGGCTAGGATGGGTAAGGGGCCAAGCGCTGTGACTAGGCTAGGATCAAAGTATTGGACTGGAAAAGAATTGGGAACATGCTCCTTGTGAAATTGCATATTTGAGAAGTTGCCAATTGAGAAAATATCCTTGGGAAGTTAAAGCTTGGTAAATGTCTTTGGTAATGTATATACCTAACTTCTATTTGAATGATTTAAGACTTTTCTTTTGAACCAATTACTGTTCGTTCCATGTTTGTCAATTTATAGATTGTTCCAATACCAATGCATTCTATGCAATTACTTTTTGTCAGAACTATTGCAGTGTTCTTGATTATTTCTGATAGTTCATAACTTGTAGGAAAAAATTTGTATCCTCTCTCAGTAAAAATTGAGAAATTAAAGTTTTAAAAGGATCATTCAGTGGGTTATGCAATATTTATGTACATGGTTTGGATTTTTACAGCGTCTTGCAGGAGAAAGGCGATATTAATGTTCCTTCAAAATATGTTAATATATCAAATACATTATTTTTTAGCAACAAGTAGGAGGATCTAATAGTTGTGTCCAAAGAAAAACATACAAAATGATAAAAGCTCTATTCAAAGATACCGAAGTTCTATTCAAAGATTCTTCAATTTCAAGATATGGTCAGTCAAAAGATATATATATAAACATTATGCAATATTTATTAAATTATTAAAAAATTGGCATGATCAAAAGATCAAAACAATTGTGGATGTAAATAATTAAGTAAACATTTTATTATTAATATTTTTATTTTCAAAATGTGTTTAGTAATCTTAAGTTAAATTATTTATTATAATCTTTTTAAATTTTTCAGGAGGTTTTGATCTAAAAGTAAATGGAATAAAGATAATAAAGGTAACGAAACTGATTACTTTAACATGATTGATAATGTCTGAACCCTACTGCTTATACTAACTCTGACCTTTTAAATCAATTAAAGTTAGTCTTTCTTTAGAAGGACCTTCATTCTGCAATCTGCAATCTGGATTGCAATTGCAATTGCAAAAGGGTCTTCACTCTTCAATCTGCATTCTTCATACTCCAACCTCTAAAATCCTTATAGTTATTCTTCTGTGTTTTTAGAATGATTATGATCGTGAATTTAGCCCAATTCATCAAACAACTAATCAAGGAAGACAGCTTGACGTTTTTGAGGTAAGAAACCCACAAAAAAACCGTAAACTCAGGCTTATCTACTCTTTTTGACCCAATAAAAGCTTTAGAAAAGAGTTCCAGCATTAGGAACCAATTAGATTGGTCAGAAACATATATTTTCTATTTATAAGTTTGAAACTTATTGTAGTGTTACTTAACTTTTAATTAGGGCATGCTTTTCCCTTTCTTAAATAATTAAATTACCTTGCAGTATTTAAGGAATTTAAAGCTGCTAATTGTGTGAAAGATTTGTTTGAACATCCTATTTAGCAATATTTTTAACCTGCTTTACATGTCAATACAAAAGTCAGTGCAAGACTGTGCACACTTTTAGACATATTTCAGATAGATTTAAAAATTTAACATCTGAAATTTGTTTTTAATTTCTTCTCAGAAATATGCTAGATCAAGAAACAACCCTGATGACAAAAAAAGGAATAGTTATGACATAAGTTTTCTTCTGACTGGAAATAATAGAAGAGGTAACAACCTAAAGAGAAAAGGGATAACAGGATAACACTAATTGTTTAAATTACACTTAGTCCGTAGCACATCTAAAATTTTATACATGTAAAATCAGTTACGTAAACACCTGTATACTCTTAATCCTCAACCGGCTGGGGGGGGGGGGGGGGTTGTTTGGCACCCCCCTGTAGCTTTTTGTCCTAGCACTCTTTTATTTTTGACACTATCACCGTGAAATTTTGTGACTTTTAATGAATAAAATTTAAAGGATTTCTTGTTAAAATTTTTTTTTATTTTATTTTATAGGGTAGGGTACACGGCGGAAAAGAAGTCCGGTCTGTGAAAAAAAATCTAAAATAGCCCATAACTTTTTGTGACTAAAGCTACAGATCTAAAAACTATATTTTTGAAAAGCCCTTGAAAACTGCATGTAAAAACATGTGTCACACTTTGAGATTTGTTTAAAACAAAAAACATTTTTTTGACCCTTTTTTAGGGATTTTTTTAACCCTCCCTAGCCCCCAAACTATTAAAACTATCGGTTTCATTTTTTTTCTATGGGCTGGCCTTGAAAATTTGGGCTCTGCACATGCATTTCAACCCTATACCTATTCTGTATGGCCTTTTTCTAGGGGGGGGGGGGTGGCGCCAAACGCCTCCCCCCAGGCTTTACATAGATTCAGACCCCCATACTTTTATAGGGTTAAACAGAAAATATAAATATTTAGTTTTAAAAAAATTACAGAATGTATTAGGCTCATCATGTCAGCAAAATGCACGATGCACTTCCTGCAAGAGTTTTTCATAACTTCCTGCTAGTAATACCTGTTTCCTTTCAGTTATTTCAAATATCCTTTACAAATGCAGCTGTAGTGCTTAGTTGTTTCGCAACCTTCCTTCAGTTGCTTAATAAGGACCGAAAAAGCACCAAGTAGTATTCCTACAGATCTTCGAATTGGAACCCTCTCTTCTAATAGATGACATCTCCATAAAAACTCAGGATAAATCTTCTACGTTTATTGAGAATTCAATCTGGTAAAAAATAATCGAATTAGAGTTAATATGTTTACATGTATCACAGAAAAAAGCTTAAGTAAATCAAATCTCAATATTTCAAATCCTAAGAAATTATAATCTACTCAGCAATAAAAAAATTGTGAATAAGAATTTTAAAAGAGTTACATAATATCGACATCATTTAGAATGATAAATAGAATAACAGTATATACTGTCTCTTTGAAAGTTTAGGTCACACTGAATATTCTAGAAAGTGATGCAGTACAGATTTACAGATTTAAAAACAAGTTATACTATATAAACTAGAAATTACGAGATTCATACCATGGATAATTAAAAAAACAAAGATAGCTTATGTACGCAAAATCACCAAGAATTGTACAGTCCGTGAACTCATACTTCTAGGGGTCAAAGTGTACTTCAATGATAAGGGGGGTGGTTTGGTGTTTTAATGGATTTCATAATAGAGTGTAAAGTAATTTTGGGAATGGAACTATTTGAACAACAATATTTCACTGAGCAATATATCATATTGACGAGAACTGAAGAAGGAAATGAGAAGGAATAAACTAACTTAAATTTCTCTCTACAAAACTCATGTACACCACAAGTACTCAATAAAATAAGAACAGCCAATGTTCACAACCGACCTAGTTAATCTATATAATAGGAATATCTTTAAAACATCTCTCTACATTTATAAATTTCAAGATGAAAAATGTCGTCTTATGCGCAATCTATCCTTATCTATGGATTCTACCGATGCTTCATTTGTTGCTATAGCAGCAACTAAACACAGGGGTGAATACTGTCTTGTGCAGGGATGATGAACTGATCCTTCACGAAATATAGGTTGCGTAACATGAGTTTAGCAGAATTCTTGGAAGATATCTTAAGCACTCGCACTTAACCATGCCAGCATATTTGCCATTTTACTTCTTTTTCAAAATCTTTGAATATCTTCCAAAATCTAAACTAAAACTCTGCCTATCGCACAATTCTATTTAGATAGCCATAGTTACTTTACAGCTCATATGTTGACAGAACTGTTATTTTTTGCATATTTCTCAATTAAATATGGGACAAAAAATAAAATCTATTACATTAAGAATATCATTATTTTTAAAATTCAACCTTTTTTTAGGTTCAGTACCGTCTGGATTATCTCATATTGATAGGGTTTGCCACTTGTAAGTAAAAACAGGATTTGCTGCTTGTATTTAGCTGCAGTTTAATGCACTACATAAATTATGAACTCACCACAGTGCACACTGAAAATTGCTGCTGAATACAAGCAGGTTTTGATAAATTTACACACACATATCTCTTTACTTGATTTTCAACAACTCTGAGAGCTCTAGAGCAACATGTGACACCTCATATAGAAGATGTTAAGGACTTTTCCAAATGAAATTGCACATTTGGATTGGTGCCTCTTGGGAAGTCACCCTTTGGAATTGCCTTTGAGAAATTTCCTTACGTAATATTTCAGTCAGAAATTAAGTCCATTCCATTTTGAAGTATTCTATCCCTGGTAAGGTTTGGTGCTGGAGTGATGACACTCAAATTGAGGAATGGAAAACATGACGGTGCTCATATATTGTTAGCTCATGAGCTGGGACATCTTATGGGAGTTAAGGATCATGACGGAACAAAATCTGCTAGAGAATGCCGGGGTAAAACTATAATGAAACCCACTGTTGAACCTGACTTTACAAAATGGAGTGCCTGCTCAAGGTAAGTTTCAGAAGAAAAAAAAAATCTTAGAAGTGCCCCCTTCCCCAGCCCCTCTCCTTCACTGTAATGCAAAAATTTGATACTGATAATAATATTTGAGGGTTTCATGAATATGAAAAAGGGGTATATTAAGGCCTTTAAGGGAAAGAATTTGGGCAAAATAGTGGCAAATGACCTGTTTGAATATAGAGCTTATTATTCAGGAAGCAAATAGACTATGCATATGACAGGCGTGCAAGGAATAGGCACACTAATGGAAACTGCTTTTATGTTTAAACCTTGAGAAGTAATTGTGATAAAAAAATAGAAAATAAACATTCTGCATTTAATTTAACTAGAGCTTATAAATGTTGGAACTGCGGGAGAATAGACTGAATCACAAAAAAACCAAAAAAATTGCAGGGCTTTTACTGTACAATTAATTGCCCGCAGGAACCAAATTAAATGAGTTTGAGCTAATTTGCTGAACTACCTACAGCCAGTTTTATATTTGAACCATTAATGAAAATAAGGGAGAATTTTAAAAGTGACTCTGATTGTTTTAAGGTGCTAAATTTCAAGAAATTTGAGCATCAATTACAGGAAAAAAACAAATAAGGTATAGAATGAGGATACTTTCTAAAAACATTCACACTTTGAAGGACAAAGTTTTATCAAAAAAACATTTGGAAATGTATAAATCAAATTTTAATATATTTGCGATGATATTTCAACCAACTGTCAGTGCAATAGCCTTAAATCATCTATTGCAACAATAAAATATTATATGGTAATATAGCTTGCACATAATAATATGCTATTTGATTTATGTGGGTAACATTTCTTGAATGGTGTTGTATGCCACAATGTTGTCATCAGGCTTCCACAAATGTCTCTTAAAGCTCTAACATTGAGACTTTTCAAAGAGAAAAGAGAGAGAGTATTAGTTTGGATCTGATACAGGATGACTGGGATAAACTTTAATGACACACTCTGTTGATGATGATCATTTAAAATGGAGGGCCTGTTCAAGGTAAGTTTTATAACATACAACAAGAAATCAGAAGAATATTGCATACATAATACGATCATTATTCCTTTTTTAAAAGTTCAAAACAAGATGGGTTGTTTATAAAAACGTTTGCTTTTTCCAAAAACGAAACTATCATTTTTGAAAACGATTGAAAAACGTAACATTGTTTAACAATCGTTTTTAAAAATGATTAACAACCCTAGTAGTAAGGGGGAAATAGTTAGTTTTCTGTTTTTCCATATCATATTCCATAACATGCTATTCATAGTGCCAAGCCAAGCCATCTTTTCAACACAGCATCAGACGCTAGGGATAGCTTGGGTTCATTGATCTGAGTGTAAAATAGGGGAGAGCCAGGCTAGGCTCCCCAATTCGCTACAGTCTCTGACTGAGTACGGTACATATGGAGTAGTTTGTTCTCAGGATGTTTTGTCTCTACAATATTTTGATATTAACCGTTTGATCTATTTTCATTATTAATGAAATATTGAACCAAAACATCATCAAAACGTCATTTTGTTACTTTCTGAGTCCGGAAATTTTTTTGAATTTTTGCATGAGTCATGAGATATTCTTCAGTTTTAACCTGACTCTAACAATTGTTCTTCAAATTAATCTGAACAACCTAAGCCCATAACTTTGTTCTTTAGATCTTAATCTAAACCTAAAGTTCCTAACTAAAACCTAACCTAAACCTGAAAATATTCTTCACATCTCAATCTGAACCAATAGTTCACAACCTAACCCTGGTGATATTCTTTAAAACTTAATCTGAATGATGAGATATTCATCAGTCAATTTTTTTATCTAAACTTGTAAATATAATTTAGATCTTAAGCTAAACCTAGAGATATTTTCAAGATCTCTCTCTAAACCTCGATATATTTTAAAGATCTTTATCTAAACCTAAAGATATTTTTAGGATCTTTTTCTGAATCTAGCTAGAGATATTTTTAAGAATTCTATCTAAACCTAGAGATATTTTAAAGATCTTTATTTGAATCTAGAGATATTTTTAAGAACTTTATCTAACTCTAGAAATATTTTTAAGATCTTTATCCAAATCTAGAGATATTTTTAAGATCTTTAACTGAATCTAGAGATATTTTAAAAAATTTATCTAAACCTAGAGATGTTTTAAATAATTTTATCTAAACTAGAAATATTTTAAAGATCTTTATTTGAATCTAGAGATATTTTTAAGATCTTTATCTAACCCTAGAAATATTTTTAAGATCTTTATCCGGATCTAGAGATATTTTAAAGAATTTTATTTAAACCTGAAGATATATTAAAGCTCTTTATTTGAACCTATAAATGATATTTTAAAGATCTTTATCTAACCCTAGAAATATTTTTAAGATCTTTATCCAAATCTAGAGATATTTTTAAGATCTTTATATAAACAATGAGATATTTTTAAGATCTTTATCTAAGTTTTGAGATATTTTAAGATATCTCTATGAACCTAGATATATTTTAAAGATCTTTATCTAAACCTAGCTATAGATATTTTTAAGATCTTTATCTGAATCTAGAGATAATTTTAAGAATTTTATCTAAACCTAGAGGTATTTTAAAGATCTTTATTTGAACCTAGAGATATTTTTAAGATCTTCATCTAAACCTAGAAATATTTTTAAGATCTTTATCTAAATATAAAGATATTTTTAAGATCTTTATCTAAACCATGAGATATTCTTAAAATCTTTATCTAAACCTATAGATATTTTTAAGATCTTTATATAAACTTAGTAATATTCTTCAGATATTAACCTAGACCTAGAGAAATGATTCAGATGTTATAAACCAAGAGCTTAAATTGAGCCTGGGAATTAAAACCAGATAAACTAACCCCAGGTACTAAACCTAGATTAACTAACCCTGGGTACTAAACCTAGATGAATTAACCATGGGTACTAGACCTGGATGAACCAACCCCGGGAGGCTTAAGCCTAGGTGAACAAACCTAGGGTACTAAACCTGGATGAACTAACCCCAGGTACTAAGACTAGATAAACTAACTCTTAGTACATAAACCTTGCTGAACTAATCCTGGGACTGAACCTGGATGAACTAAACCTTGCTACAAAAATCTGGATGAACTGACACTGGGAACTAAACCTAGTTAAACTCAGCATGGGTACAAAACCTGGATGAACCAACCACGGTTACTAAACCTGGATGAACTGACTTTGGGAACTAAACCTAGTTAAACTCACAATGGGTACTAAACCTGGAAGAACAAACCCCAGGTACTAAACCTAGATGAACTAATACTGGGATCTAAACCTGGATGAACTAATACTGGGATCTAAACCTAAATGAACTAATACTGGGATCTAAACCTAAATGAACTAATACTGGGATCTAAACCTAGATGAACTAATACTGAGATCTAAACCTGGATGAACTAATACTGGGATCTAAACCTAGATGAACTAATACTGGGATCTAAACCTAGATGAACTAATACTGGGATCTAAACCTAGATGAACTAATACTGGGATCTAAACCTAGATGAACTAATACTGGGATCTAAACCTAGATGAACTAATACTGGGATCTAAACCTAGATGAACTAATACTGGGATCTAAACCTAGATGAACTAATACTGGGATCTAAACCTAGATGAACTAATACTGGGATCTAAACCTAGATGAACTAATACTGGGATCTAAACCTAGATGAACTAATACTGGGATCTAAACCTAGATGAACTAATACTGGGATCTAAACCTAGATGAACTAATACTGGGATCTAAACCTAGATGAACTAATACTGGGATCTAAACCTAGATGAACTAATACTGGGATCTAAACCTAGATGAACTAATACTGGGATCTAAACCTAGATGAACTAATACTGGGATCTAAACCTAGATGAACTAATACTGGGATCTAAACCTAGATGAACTAATACTGGGATCTAAACCTAGATGAACTAATACTGGGATCTAAACCTAGATGANATACATCATTAGAAAGCTCTTGTGCTCTACTTTTAGAATCTGCAAAAAAATTTGCAAATTTGCAAAAATTGAATTTTTTATCGCAAAATCCAGTTTTATGGTAAAAAATTCAATTTTTGCAAATTTGCAAATTTTTTTGCAGATTCTAAAAGTAGAGCACAAGAGCTTTCCAATGATGTATCATTTGTCATATTTGGACATCAAACATGGGATTTAGAGGGGGGGGTCAAATTGCCCCCCCCCCCCAGCATATCCTGGTTTTCAAGTACCCCAGCAGAGAAAGGGTTAATTGCACTTCTTTGCCCCTTTTTCGATCTTATTTGAAATATCTTATCTTTTAATCAAATGCTAATGAGTTAACTGCAAAGAATAAACTATTGGTTTTAATTATTTTTGTGATAATAAAAACCCCGTAATTTATTGCTAATGTATTAAAGGAATAATTTTCCAAACTCAAACCAAAATTATAAACCAATAAATTTCTGTCTTTTATCCAAAGTAATATTTAATTACAGATAAGTCTTTGTAATCATATAAACACCTCTGTCTTTCTGTATATGTGCTAGTAACCTTAACTTTAAAGATTCATATTCTAAAATCATGAATTCTAATTATTTTTCTTGGCTTGGCAATGAAAAATACATCCTTTTTTCTATATATGTCAATCCTTTACACTGTAAAGCCATTCATACCTTTAAAATTCAGAAGTCTAAAAAACCTAATAAAAGCCAACTTTAAGCTAGGCCCATGCCCAAGCGTCATTTCTATCGACCAATAGGATACCAGAATTTGAAGTACAGCCATTCTATAACCAATGAAACCATGTACATGTTATAATAACCTTCATATATATTATATGAAGGTTAAATATTATTATAATTCTACATACGATCTTGCTCTACTTTTATATGCTGCAGATGTCGTGTGACTTATTCCATGGGTTTTAACAAATTTTTGATCTTTTGATCTAAATCCAGAATAATTATTGGTAATTAAAAATCGTATATTACCAAAGTTACTTAAATATTTTCTTGATAATCTAAGACACTATTGTTTTTATTGACTCGTTAAACGTAAGTAGTACTGTATCTTGAATTTAATATAACTAGTACAAAAAAAACGTTTTACCTATAAACATGCTAGACAAGCTTTGAATAATATCAATTCCTTTAATAATTTAATATTAATAGTTTAATTATTCGCTTATGCAAATATTTTTACTAAAATACACGCAAAACATGCACCGCAAAGTTTTTCAATCAATTCCTTTAATAATTTAATAATAATAATTTAATTATTCGCTCATGCATTATGCATGAATGCATTTTATTGATATTCTTCACATGCAT